CAAGTTATTCCCAAAGATTAACCTAATTCCTTCCATCTTCGCATCAAATTATCAATTCTATTTTCTTTCTTTCAGAAAATAATTTCATATATTTACGATTTTTGGAAATCGTATTTTGTCGAAGACGATTACGAAAATCGCGATCTTTCAATCCAATCCTGTCGAAATCCCTTTTTTATTTACTAAATTTTGTCTCTCATATCTTGATAAACCTTAAAGAGAAACGAGATCAACAGTTTGTTTAAAGGTGTTGTCAAAATTTCTCGTTAAGAGCAAACACAAAAAATCTAAAAGAATTTCCATTAAAATCATTCGACAAAAAAATTCAATTTTTTGATACAAATTAATCAACTTATTTTTATTGTCGACATATGAAAAAAACGTTTCACGCCAGAACATATACCCAAAAACGAAACAAAAATCGCTAAGACACTACGAAAACGCATCCGTGTGGACAGGGATTTGATTGGTTATTTCAACGTTATCTGTGTATTAAATGGACGCAAGACGATACGTGTTGTATCTTGTTATGTACTAAATATTAATATCTTAGATCAATGATCAATGCGCATATTGTACAGTATAAAGTCTATATATCATGTATTCACTGTAAAGGGACGTCCACACTGGCGATTTTGGGGACGATTTTTTGCGGTCATTTTGGGCCTAGTAAATAATTTTCAGGAATAAACTCAAAACGTTTTATTTAGTACACTGAGGCAAACTCTCTTCACAAGGATAAGACAAAAATAATCTAATATATTCTTGAAAATCGCCGAAAAAAACGCAACAATAATCGTAGCAAAAATCGTCAGTGTGAAACGGTCTTAACCACCTCTCTCTCATTTTCAACTATTGTAAATGTACATTATTTAGTGGGATTAAAAACGTTTTGGTGCTGGTTGATGTGAGCCGTATTTTATTGCTTTTTGGCTTTTCACTAACCTCTTTGAGCGCTGTTTCTCAGTTGATTAACCCTTTTCCTTCCGAAATAATCACACATTTGTGACCATAATCAACCGCTCTTTTTAAAAAATTCCCCTTTTTTCTCATGTTTTGTGACCAAGCAGGCGCGGATCCAGGGGAGGTGAAAAGGGTGATTTTGATGCGACGCTGAGAATAAGGACTCTTAAACGCGTTTTCTTGCGTATTGTGTGGTTATTTTAGCTTTAGACGTGCCTTGTGCCTTGATTTTGCAGCAGCGCAAATAAATAAAGATTCTTAAACGCGTTTTCTTGTGTATTGTAGTTATTTCTTTTTTAGATTAATTTGTGTCTTTTGTCGTTTTTGCGGCGTCAGCACATAGGAATAAAGGCTCTGAAATCATTTTATTTGCGTTTGTTTGTTATTTTAGATTTGTTTTTAGATTTTAGTTTTGATTTTGTAGCAACGCTAGTGTTGCACTTGCACTACAAGCCAAGTCTAACCGCAATTATGTAACATTGGTACGCGTGGCCGAGTGTAAGTGCCTTCTTTTCTAGATCAGACGTCTGAGTTTCGAGACTCAGAGGAGCTGACATCTCTTTAGATTTCTTTCTTTGCCAAAAAATAAATAAATTCAGTCAAATATAGAACAAGGAACCCGGTAACGGTAAATTAATCAGTAAATTACTAGAAAACAACGAGAATAAATTAATAGTTCTGGACACAAGTAACGCAGGCTCAAGTTTACAGGAAAGTGAGTGACTGAGTGACTGATTGATTGAGTGAAAAGCTTGTCGACCGTTGAAATATTGTGATGAACATGAAAAGGCAGTATTCTTTACAACTTCAGGCAAGGGAATATGAAAAATAAAGAACAAAAAAATCCAAACAAGCTTTGAATGACGCAAGCCACGCTGTCTCAGTAAAAACACCCACTGATTTTTTGTTTGAATCTAAAGAGAGCAAACAGATGTGAGAGAGTGTTATGATAAAGTTTCTTCCTCCGTCAGGTGATCTCAGGAGAGAAAAAAATGATATTTTAGTTTTAAATAATTTTTAAAGAAAACAGGAAAAGGACAATTATTCAGTTTAAATAGATTTTACCGAATTGTATTGTGATGGTAAATTTAAACATTGGAATAACACCGTCAAAAGACTGGTTTCCTGTAAAAGTACTTTTTACATTTGAATCACAAATAAACTCATTAAATCTTCAAAATGGAAGTTGYATTTAACTGTTTTCAARTGGATGATTGYCTTTAATAGAAAAATAACTGACATAAATTTAAATCGCTTGAGGATCGTTTCTATATAAATAATATATATGTAAACTATATATATGATGTTATTCTTGGCATTCTCACATCATACGTCAATCCCAATTATACTGCTAACTTTCCCAATGTCCAAGCAAAATGTCCATTCATCAGTGGTATTAGTGAAAAAAGTATAATTATAATTGCTTTTAATAAGCATTGTTATACAAATTACACAAAATTCGTCAGTCAAGACTTCTTTCACAACATATCTTCATTCAGTCCGTCCTATCGATCAGTGAAGCACTGTCCACTGTTAAAGCAAATCCTATAACAGTTCATACTTGCAATGGCAAATAACTCTTCTAGTGTCGTGGTCTCTACTAATACTACACCCGATGTTTGCTTTTTTTCCGTACCAGAGTTTGACCCTCATAACATGAACCGTCCAGATTCAGTTCACCAGACTTGGACTTTTCTTGCTATCGTCAATGGTCTTGCTGCCCCCCCGACAATTGTCGTCAACGCCCTTGTCATATGGGCTGTGGTTGGGAATGAGAATCTTCGATCCTCTGCCTTCAACATTTTACTTGCCTCTTTGGCAGTCACTGATTTACTGACAGGATTGCTGGTCGAACCTTTGTTCTGTCTTTATCTAGGATGTCTTCTGAACAATTGTCTTTTGCCTGAATGTACATTCACTGCGTACGTTTTATCGTTGCAAGTTTGCGGTAGTATGACAATGGTCAGTTTTGCAATCGCGAGTGTTGAGCGGTATTTAGCCATTGAACACCCGAACTTTTATCTCCAGAACATTA